TCACTGGGATACTGCGGTCCAGTGGATCAGTTAATAACAAACACACCTGCCACCTCACACATCTGTGTAGAAGGGACATCAGGAGAGGGAACATGTCCAAAGGGGAAGCTTCTGATCCTTGGAAGCTACTGGTGGTCACAGGGAAGTGGGTAACAAACTTCCGGTTTCGTTTCTGCTGGGGTGGGTGCTAACTATACCAGAAACAGAACACCAACAGGCTCCTGCATGCCCCTCCGCACCAGGTCGTTACCCAAGACTTTCTGCACGCCCCCCCCCCCCGCCCTGCGCCTCCCGAGCGCGCCTCTGCGCCCCCAACTTGGCCCAAGCTTTTCCCTCCTCTGGAATGCAGTCTCCAACCACTCCCCGGTTGAGCATCATTCCCTCGACACAGGTAACCCCTTTCCTCCAGGGCCTGGCCTTCCCGGCTCTCACAGAAGCCTTCTCTCAGCACATGCTCCCATCGGCCCACAGGCCGCTGCTGACTCTTGCAGTGTGATCTCCTAGCAGAGTGGAAGCCTCAACGCTGGGTTTGTTGAATGAATGAGGGAGGGAATCCATTTCAAGAAATCAACGTATTTTGGACACTCTGACCATACATTGATCCAGCGGTCTGAACATAACTCGCCTCCAGCAGGACCCGGTAACAGCCAATCCTCGGACCTACTAAAGTCAAAACCCCACAAACTGTAGATGGGGTGGGGCGACAAGAACTGAAGGGAGGAAGGCAAAGGGACGTAGTGACAGCGCACATCATCGCACATCATCGATCCCTCCAGAAAAGGTAGGAAACCCATCCGCAGAGATTCAACCCTAGACGTGAGGTCACGTGGGAAAGGAGCTGTTAACTCTCAGAACTCGCAAAGTTCGAGGTGGAGATCTGGTCTGAGGTGATGAGGCCGCAAATTTTCCCTGCGCGTCTGTCCGACCCCAGCGGGAGCCAAGAGGTTTGAGAGTTTGGTAACACGGCTGGGGTATGGGGAAAGGGAACAAGGACCCCCTCCCAAATCCAGTCCCCACGGGAGGCACAGAGGCAAGGTTACCGCGCTGCGCTTCGTTCCCCTGCTCGAAAGCACGACAGCAACGTCTGCTCCCCAAGTGCCGCCCGGGCGGTCTGGGGACCTCCAGTTGCCCTCTGCCCTTCCCAGAACGCTCTCCCTCTCCACACGCAGAAAAGAACCACGAGCTAGAGGCGTATCTTGGCTGAACTACCGAGTCGCAGACCGCGCTCCCCTTGCAGCTCACTCTGGGTCGAGCGAGCGCTGCACGCGAAGAGAAGCCCAGCGGCTGGCCACCTGGAGCCGCGGCCGCGCACCCCGGCGTCCCCGGCGTCGAGCCCAAGTTGGCGCTGCCCTAGTATCTGCTCCTGCCCGCTGGCTTACCTGCTTACATGGCCCGGGAGTGCCCTGGGTGCCGCGCGGTGACCATTGGGGAGCCTGGGTCCCCACCACTGGCTTCCAGGAGCTGGCCAAGGAAGGGCACGGGGAGGGTTCCGCCGCGCCGGGAGCACCGAGGAAGAGAAAGGGCCAAGAACCTGAGCACCGCCGTCCCGCGCGAGGGGGCCGGGGCGATCCGAGAGGTGGGGCGCCGAAAGGGACCGCGAGCGGCCAAGTGGCGCCAGATGCTCCACGAGGACCAGCTCTGGGGACGAGACGGCTGAGCCGCAGAGCGCAGCGAGCTTGGCCCGGACCCGCGGCCGCGGCGCTGGGCAGCGGGGAGAAGTTGTGCAGAACTTGAGCCGCCGGGAGAGCCCGAGTGCCAGGAAGCGCGAGCGGCCGGGAGGGCGGAGGAAGGGGCCGGGTGGGAGGGGACGAGCAGGCGCCGCTGGCCGGGCTCCCCCGCCCCGGGCTGGGCTCTGCTGCTCTGGGGGCCAGGAGGCGGGGAGTGCGCGGGGCGCTCTCTGGGCGGGCTAGGAATGCGACTGGGGAGGGCGCGCGCCAGCCTCGGGGACGCGCACCCAGCGCTGAAAAGTGGAGCCCGGGCTCCCCCGCTGCGGGCGCACGGTCCCCGGGGACGTCACAGCGCTGGAATCCGAGGAATGCCGGGCTGCCCGAGCTCCTTCGGCAGGCCGGGCAGAAGTCGTGCACTTTTAATGGGCTAGCTTTGGAGCGTGTCTTCCTTCCAAGGTGGGGGGCTGTGGACGGAAGGAAAGTGCCTGGAGTAAGACAGAAGTGGAGAGGGGGTGGCGACCCAAGGCAACCCAGCTGTGCGACGCTCCGGGGGCGGATGGGAAAACGGAAAGGAAAGGACCGTCCCTCCTAGATTTCCGTAGGCAGCTAAGGGGTGGGACGCTGGAGCTAGAACAGGCCATTTATTTGGGGGAGGTCTTGCCGCCACCGCCCAGGGGACACAGGACAGGACAAAATAGAGTGGCCTCCTTGAGCAGGCAATCTAGGAGCCCTGCTCAGAATCCCAGGATCTTGTGAGCTAGACTTAGCTCCGGTCCTCCCACCCCACCCCCACGGCCAGCCAGCCTTTGTGTGCTGGGAGTTGGAATATGTGGTTTTCCCGGTTTGTTCCATGCCACGGAGGGGCCCCACCCCGCCTGGGCACTGGGAGGGAACTGCCTTAGCACTTTCGGAGGTGGGGTTACTGAGGCGCAGCCGGTATAATGGAAAAAGCACTCAGCCGGGCAGGGGAACCAGTATTAGGCCCCCGCTGAGTTGCTGACCCAGTGCTTGACTCAGGAGGATCCCAGCCCCCCACCCCTGATCCTTGGTTTTGGTAGTTGTTGAAATGAAAGGGGCCGCCTGTATTTCTAGTGTTTGTGTGGCTTGGCATCTGTTCTTCTGAAGTCTCAAGCCCAGTCCTTCCAAAGACCCTGAAGTCCTTGTCACAGAAGATAGCGTCAAATTACTTTACTGTACAGGCAAGGGATACTGAACTTCCAGGCCTTACTCCATCCTGGTGGCCCATGCCACACTCTGGAGGCAGAGACAGGAAAATTACAAGCTGAAGGCTGGCCTGGACTACATAGCAAGACCCTACCTCAAAACAAGAAAGAAAAGTATTAAATTGCTTGTGCCCAGAGGGCGAATCTGTAATAAGTGCCTTCTGAGCATTTACCTGTCTGCAGAACCAAGAAGAATTAGAGTGGGCCAGAGGGGGACGAAATGGGATGATGGATGGAAGGGTCAGTTTTTCAGAATGTCAAAGAGACCACTGTAGGGGTCTGGTGAGTTTCCAACCAGTCTTCTGAAGGGCTTCTCTTTGTGGTTGCAAGTGTGGGCAATATTCCACACAGCCATGCATACCATCAGCATCCCTGAGAGAAGGCTGAGCAAACAGGAAGAAAGGACCTGTCTCACCAAGGAACACACGCTGCTGAAATGGGATCAAGACAGAGCCTGCACAGGAGCTGACTTAACCTCAGAAGCTTGACTGAAACGGGATTGGGCTCACCGGTAAGATGCCTAAAGGCTGTCAGGGGCGGGCTGGCTGTGCCCTTCTGGGACACAGGAGGCCCTTGGCATCTTTTCACAGTGGAAAGTAAGTGGCGCATGGATGTCGTGGCTCTCAAGACACTCAAAACGCTGAGCACAGCCCCCGAGGCCTCCGTGGTCTAGAAGAAAGAGCAAAGGATTTTCAAGCAGATACAAAAACTGGATTCCATCTGTGACCAGCCATGTGACCCTGAGCAAGCTTGAGTTCATTTTGCCAGTGGAGTGTGACATCAAGGCCTGAGTTTGGTTGGATTAGCTGAGTCTTGGGCTGCGACCCTGTCTGAGCTTGCTTGAGTGTCTCCTCCAGACACAGGTATGTTTGTGGAGGAAGCAAGGCAGAGCCAGAGCTGGAACAGCTGCCTGCATGCTGCCTTGAGACCAGCGCGGATGCTGGGAGTCCAGTGAGTGAACGTTGGTGCCTTTGCAGCTCTAAGTAAAGCCAAGGCTGAGCACTAGCCCTCTGCACTTGTTTTTAATTTTTAAATCAACTTATTCCTAAAAGTAAAAGTCATTATTAATTTTAAGGACCTATGAAGTGTGGCTGATTGGCTTTTTATTGGGTCATAGGAAGACAATACAAATAACTATTTCAGTTTTATACACACACACAGAAAGAGAGAGAAACTGACTATTTAATGACTTGGATGTTGTACTTTGGTTCTCGTGTATGCTAGACACATGCTGACCCACTGAGATATAACTCTTTGTAACAAGAAAACACAATGTGAGCCTGAGGGTTCAGTACATAGTGCTTGCGTGCCCAGTACTGGGAGAGGTTTGGGAAATCTGGCACATTGCCCACATTTATAATCCCAGCACTCAGGAAACAGAGTCAGGACAACCTCCATGAGTTTGAGGCCAGTGACTTCAAAGCCATCCTGGGCTAAGTAGACCCCATCTCAAAAACACACACAAAAAGCAGAATGCTTGGTGCAGAAACATGAGGACCTGAGTTCAGATCCTAGCACTCCTCATAGCTGAGCATGGTTTCCCCGTGCCTGTAACCCAGCACTGCTGGAAGCAGGGAATGAGCGGTGCTTTCCTGGCTGCCAGCCTAGTCGAAAAAAGGAGGGAGGGAGGGAGGGAGAGAAAGAGGGAGGAGGGAAGGAAAAAGAAAAGAAAGAGAGAGAGACAGAAAACTGTCCTGAGCTCCATGAACTGCAGTTCAGGTAGAGACCCAGCCTCAAAAGAATAAGCTGGAGGGTAGAGGATGTAGTCAGAAGTTTTCCTGTGTCCCACCCGGTCTCACAGCTGCTCAGACCCAAGTAAACACACAGAGGCTTATGTTACTTACAAATGGTATGGCCTAATGGCTCAGGCTTCTTGATAGCTAGCTCTTATAACTTAACCCACTTCTATTTATCTATAAGTTGCCACATGGCTATGGCTTACCGGTACTTTCGCATCTTGCTTCTCCTGGTGGTGCTGGTGTCTCTCTAGATTCTGCCTTTCTCTTTCCTGTCTCTCTCTTGAATTTCCCACCTGCCTCTAAGGTGCCTTGCCATAGGCCAATGCAGCTTTATTTATTAACCAATGGGAACAACATATATTCACATCATACAGAAAGACATCCCCCAGCAAGAGGAGGATGCCCAATGCCTGACTCTGGGCTCTGTGCACATGCACCACACACACACACACACACACACCACTCACTCATATACACAAAGAACACAACTTGAAGTAACTAAAAAGAAACCAGAAGCCTATCTATTTCTCTCTCTCTCCAAAATAAGCCAAATACATTCTCTCACCCCTCCGTGTGTGTGTGTGTGTGTGTGTGTGTGTAAACAAACACTAAGTCTGCACTCTGCCATTTCCTCAGGGTGCAGGAGTCGGACAGAACTTAAAGTAATGAGCCTCATGTTTAAAGTTTTACAATTTTAGGAACTTGTGGATATTAACTCTTGAAAGTAATACATCTCCTTGTTCTAAGCTTGACTCTAACTATAAATACAGGATGCCAAGCAGAATCTCAGGGCCCTCCACCATTCCACCCACCTCCAATATGTTCTTCTCATTAATGTGTTGCTTTTACACCTTCAAAGACACTGAAGTCCCTGAAAGCAGAACAAGTTCTGGAGATGGCTCAGTCAGAAAGGCGCTTGATGTGCAAGAGCTGACTTTGGTTCCAGCACTCAGGTAAAAAGCCAGACAGGGTGGTGCTCAGCTGCAGTCTGGGAAGTGCTGTGGGATGTCTTTCTGTATGCTGTGAAGGTGTCGCTCTGATTGATTAATAAATAAAATGCTGATTTGGACAGTAGCCAGGCAGGAAGTATAGTGTAGGCAGGATAAGGAGAGAGGAGAATTCTGGGAAGTGGGAGGATGAGTCAGGAGATGCATGAGAAGATGTAAAGTACTGGTAAGCCACAAGCCACGTGGCAACTTATAGATTAATAGAAATGAGTTGATTTAAGATATAAGAACTAGATAACAAGAAGCCTGCCACGGCCATACAGTTATAAGTAATATAAGTCTCTGTGTGTTTACTTGGTTGGGTCTGAGTGGCTGTAGGAGCCGGGCAGACACAGGAATACTCCAGCTACAAGGAGGCTGACACAGGAAGATCCCAACTGTCAAAGTAGTGAGGTCCAGGATCAATGAAAGACCTCCTCAAAGAATAAGATGGAGAGTGACAGAGGAAGACAGCTGGTGTCAACCTCTGGCTCCCACATGTGCATGCACCTGTACACACATATACACAAACATGTACACACACAATAAACACATCCTGTTTTTGTTTTGTTTTGTTTTTTGTTTTTTCGAGATAGGGTTTCTCTGTGTAGTTTTGATGCCTGTCTTGGATCTCTCTCTGTAGACCAGGCTGGCCTCGAACTCACAGAGATCAGCCTGGCTCTGCCTCCCAAGTGCTGGGATTAAAGGCAGGTGCCACCGCCACTGGCCCATTTTTTTAAAAAAAATAAAAAAAAAAAAAAACAGCAGAGTAGGCTGGCTTTATTTGAAAAATTCTGATGGTCTGTAGGGGCTGTCTATACATTTTGAAGTTTTTCAGAGGAGGAGGGCTTTGTTAATACCTTGCTTTCTTTTCCTGCTGTTTATAGGACATCTGTGAGCACACGTTAGTGTGCATCATATTTTACACTGGATGTAACTGAGCTACAACCAGAATTCAGTAAAAAGCAGAAAACTTAAGATATATGAGGCTCAAACACCTCTCATGCATGTGACTTCAACCAAAGTCCAGGTAAAGTGTCTACCACTGCAGGAAATTTCCTTGTATGACTCCCCAGTCACTATGTCCCCTCTGGGCTGACTTCTGCTCTATGCGCATGTCTTGTTAATCCTCAGACTTCATGCCAATGAACTCAAGCAGTATTCACATATCATATAGATGGGGAAGCTGGCTTCTTTGGCTCACTGTGTGTCAGGAGTTCATCTATCTCCCTGCACAGCCGAATACATTCCATGGTGTGAACCGTATCACGCTGTGTTTGCCCATTCTATTGATCTAGTGAGCAGGTGTATTTTGGAAACACTTCTCAAGTGATTCTGCTGTGCTTGGGTTGCAGGTCAGAGCCACTGGTTTACAGCAAAAATATAAGATAAGCCTAGACTATTGACACCTGCAAAAAGTGGTAAACAACAGAGCACTTAGGAATGCTTTGATGGAGCTGGGAGATAGCTCATTCAGTAAAGTGCTTGTCTCGCAAGCATGAGGCCCTGAGTTCAAAACCCCAGACCTATGTTTTGTTTTACTTTGTTTTGTTTTTTGTTTGTTTGTTTAAAGGCTGGCATGATGGCACACACTTGGAATCCCAGCACTGAAGAAGCACAGACAAGTAGATGGATTCCTGGGTCTTTCTGGCCAGCCAGTACAGCCTATTCAACAAGCTCTAGGCCTCAATGACCCTGTCTCAAAAACAAAATGAAAGGTACCTGAGGAGCAATGTCCAGGGTTATCCTCATATGAATACAAGTGCACCCCCACACACATACACACCCAAAAGAATGTTGTAACTGTGGAGTGTGCGGTCTTAGTTTTATTTGTTTGTTTATTTTCCCTGTTGCTGTGATAAAATACCCCAACAAAAGCAACTCGCAGTGGGGAGGAAACTGGACCGTGAACTTCTGGCTATCTGGTGATTTTTTTTTTTTTAAAGTGGTGTAATTGTTTGTGAAGAGCTGCTACATACAACTACCCATGGGTCTCAGGTCTATCCCAGAAGCCGACATAGACTACACACAGTATAGTATATGGACATATAGTACCGTAGAGTGTGGCACAACACCACCCAGAGACTGTGCCACAGTGGGCGAGAACCAGTGACCTCTGCCTTTAGAGATGGCTTCCTAGCATCCGTTCCCGGAAAACCATTGCTGACACAGGAGATGGAGATTCCTTCTTCCCTCCTGGTGGCATCTTGGAGGACTTTCAGTTTGCAAATGATAGTCGGCCTATGATGTTCATCCTTCCCCTAGGCCAGCATGGCCAGGAAGTCACTGTCCTCAATCACTGTCAAAGTGGAGTAATACGAGACTTTTGTGGAGCCATAGCTTTATGCTTTGAATGTGAAATGTCACCTCCACAGCTTATCTGTTGGCACACTACTCCCCAGCTGGGGGCAATGTCTGTCGGGTTGTGCGACCTTTGGAATGTGGGTCCTCACTGAAGGAAGTGGGTAATTGGGGGTAGGTCTTGAGAGTCACCCCCAGTTCTCTGTGCGTCCTGGGGCAGTACAACCAACAGCTACTGAACGCTTCATCTTCCTCTGCCACAAACAGCAGCCGTGCTGGATATTTCCAAGAGGGACACCTCCTCTGAACGGTAAAGGAAAATTAACCCTCCTTCCTTGGAGTTGTTTCAGCCAGGTATTGTTACAGAAGCAAGAAAAGCATTGACCACACACAGGTGAGGTGAAAGTAGAAAGCGCGTATTCCGTGTCCTCTCTAGTCCACCGCCCACGGAAGCTAAGCGTGTGGTCCACTCTTGTCACCCATGCTTCCCTCTTGTTCTAAGGTCTCAGAACCCGTTCCAGATGCTCCCACCACCACCTCTGGCCACCTCTCCATCTCGTTTCTCTTTCCTTTTCCCAGGTCTCAGATGAAGCCTCCCTATTTTCCAACATACTGTCCCTTAAAATGAAGCACTGGAGAGAGGTCCCACTCTGTGCATGCCAACCTAGGCCTTGTAGAGGTGCGTTATTCCTCTTACGTCCTTCTGGAGAGAATGTCAAAGATGTTTGGTTGTATGTTTTTGAGCTGGAAAGGACAGATGGAGCTATCCTCCTGTCTGGGGGGCTGGACTGGCTCCTTGGGCATCTGTGAATGACCATGTATGCAAGGATATCAGTGTCCCTACATCAAAGAGGTAGTCTCACCATAGGAGCAGCACTGATTTTTCCAATAAAAATGTACAAGATTCAGCTAATTATTTACTTTTGAAAAATTCCAATGATATAAACATATGCTGAACAATAGACCATAAGACATGCACCATTATTATTATTATTATTATTATTATTATTATTATTATTATTATATACCTTATTGATACTACCAGGAAAATTTAAAAGAAATACAACCTAGGCACAAGGAAATATTTTAGTCTATGTATTTGTATATATTGTTACTATTCTCTACTAATTTTACCTTAGACCATGCACACTGACTCATCACAGTCCCGACTCTGTCTGCTGATGTTCCACTTCCATAGGCTCCAGCTCTGCCTTCTAGCCTTTCTATGCTTGGCAGAAATAGTCCATGGCTCTTCTAACACACACACACCTTACATGTCTTCCTGCTCGTGGGCCCACCTGTCACTGTGACCTTGCAGGGGCAATTGTCAATGGAGAGCTTACCCCGCGGGCTGCAGAAACACATGCATTATCCAGAAAGGGTGGTTCACAGCTGAGAGCTCTTCTGCAAGGGAGTCTTAGTTTCCATTTCATCAGTTTGGACTGTCATCGTGGAATAATCGCTTAAAAACGGAACCCATAGTTATTTACATCAGTTGTTAAAGATCTGGTAGGCAAGGGAAATGGACTCAGTAACAGTTCACTTGATTTACCAAGACCAAAAGCCCATTTCAGTTTGTGTTGTTTGCTTTCGGTCTTGTTTTTGACACTGCCTTCCTATGTAGCCCTTGCGGGCCTGGACTCTACAGAAAACAGACTGGTCTTGGACTCACCTAGATCCACTTGTCTCTGCCCTTCAGGTGCTGGGGTTAAAGGTGTGTGCCTCCACCTTCAGTTCCCATCTCAAGTTTTTGTAGGGGGAGAAAAGAACAAGTCACAGAAGGGTGGGGGCCTGGAGATATTGTTCAGTGCTAAGTGCTTATTTAGTATGCAAATTAGACTCTGGGTTCTGCAAGAGAAAGGAAGGGAGAGAGAGGGAAGGGAAACAGGGCCAGAGACCCATGGGAACTCCTCTTTCTTCTCTGGCTGGGAATGCCGTCTTCTACTTTGGTCCATACCCAGGCTAATACCCATGCAAGCCTAAAAAACGAAGTCCAAATTTCTCAAAGCTCAGTTTCTTTATCTACAAGAGGGGAATACCAAAGTGTGTGCTCACTGTTTTGTATTGTAACTCACTCATCAGCATGTGCAAAGCCCTTAGTAACACACCTGGTTCTCCGTATATCACCTAATATCATCACCAGTCTAATTATGTCTTTATGGAATGGAGGGGAACCAAACCTCACATCTACGTTTCCAATAAAAGAATCAGGCTGAGTCATCAGCCCAGGGTGGGAAGGAAGGCTGTCATAAACAGGAGAGGGGCCTGGGAGACTGAAACCACGCCCATACAGAAAAGGAGAAATGTGTTAGCAAAAGGAAAGGCTTGGTGAATCTCTCTGTTCATTTATGTCCACAGCACTACCAGGCCAGACCTGGCTTTTCCCTCTAGCAAGGGCAGTGTTGCTAGGCTAGAGGGACGCACAGAGGGCTGTTAAGGAGATCAGTGGCCACTGAGCACTTCATGCTCTAGGGACAGGGATGCTTTCTGTCACAGCATTCCAGGGCTGTGGACTGAACTGTGTCCCTCCCAGATTCCTGTGTTGATGCCTTTAATCCCCAGCAAGACTTATTTAGATGTATTCTTTAAGAAGATAATTAAGGTTAAGTTGAGGTCAGAAGACAAGGGCCCCTGAGTCAGTGGGACTCGCTGTCTTTACAAAAGTGGTTTTCTTGTATCCACACGGAGGGAAGACAGGCAAGGACGTCAGAAGAGGTCACCTGAGAGCCAAGGAGAGGACTCACCGGAAATGAGAGCTGGTAGCAGGATGGTGTGTGTGTGTGTGTGTGTGTGTGTGTGTGTGTGTTGTGTATGTTTGTGGTGTATGTGGGGTGTGTGTGTGTGTTGTGTATGTTTGTGGTGTATGTGGTGTGTGTGTGTGTGGTGTATATGTTTGTGATGTATGTGGTGTATGTGGTGTGTGTGTGTGTGTGTGTGTGTGTGTGTGTGTGTGTGTGTGTGTATGCACGAGCGGTGTTAGTATGTATGTGCTATGTGTGTCTGCATGAATGTGAGGGTCAGACGTCAGTATTAGGGGATGAGGCATCTTCCTGATCAGCCTAATATTTCTTGAGACAGGGCTCCTGTGGTTGTTATTTGAGACAAGTTTTCCCTGTGTAGCCCTGGCTGCCCTGAAACTCACTCTGTAGACCAGGCTGGCCTTGAACTCACAGAGATCTGGATGCCTGCTTCTGCCTCCTGAGTGCTGGGGTCAAAGACAGCCCCTCTTATTGAGAACTGAGGCTTGCTGATCCCACTAGACTGGCTGCCCAGGAAGCCCTCGTGATTTTCCTCACTGTTTCCTTAACAGTTGAATTATGTATGGCACACGCCTCTGCACCTAGCTCTTACATGGTGCTGAGGACAGAATGGTTTATGGTTGCCAGTGATCTCCCCACACAGCACTATTTTTGTTGTTGCTGTTGTTTGTTTGTTTGTTTGTTTGTTTGTTTGAGACAGAGTATCTCTGTGTAGCCTGGCTGTCCCAGAACTCACTCTATAATCCAGGCTGGCCTCGAACTCACAGAGATCCTCCTGCCTCTGCCTCTTGAATGCTGGTACTAAAGGTGTGCACTACCACTGTCCGGTTACCCCTGATAGCATCTTAATCTTGGACTTTAAGGCTCCAGAGCTTTGATCCCCTGGCCAGCTCCTTGGAAGGTACACAGCAACAGAATTGGTGTGCTTAGCCCAGGAACCCTTGGCACAGCACCTTCAGAGTCTCATGAGGCAGGTACATGACGTCTGTCGTCATCTTCATTAAATACTTTCCAATACCTGTCAGCTGCCATTTTCTGATTTGAGAGTGGAAAGAAATGGCCAGGTTGCTAAGAATAGCTAGAAATTCTGACCAGACTCTTCAAATCCTTGTTTACAAGAGATCAAGGAAGTGACAGGCACATACTAGTCTAAAAAAAATCAAACCAATCAGGACACTTCAGTGTTAAAAAAAAAAAAATCAAAAGATGTCCGGCTTTCATATACACGTTTTTCAGTCCCTTTCCACAGACCTCAGAAGGAAAACATGTAAGACAGAGTACATCTGCGCTGTCTCACGATGGTGCTCTTCAGAACAAAGGTCCTGTGCTCAAAGAGCATCTGTGTTGATGTCCATCTCTGTCTGCAGATGTTTGCAGCTGCACTGGCGCTCTCAAATTTTACATCAGACTTTCAGGAAGAGCCAGACAGGGGTAGGGAGGTGGCTCACAGTGTAACCTTCTTGCCATGCAAGCAGGATGACCTCAGTGTGATCCCCAGAACCCATACAAGAAAGCCAGGCTTGCTGGTGTGCGCCTGTACTCCCAATGCTGAGGAGGCAGGAGAGGTGCGGACCCGGGGCCCACTCAGGGCAGCCTAGCGGAATCACCCAGCTTTAGGCCAAGTGGGAGCCCCTGTCTCAAAACACAAGGTGTGGGAGTCAGTGAGGTGCCCAGTGACCTGAGTTTGATCCCTGAACCCCATATGGTGGCAGGAAAGAACCAGCTCACACAATTTCTTCTCTGACCTCCACACGCATGGCATGGCAGACACGAACCTCCTCCACTGTGGGGACCAGCCCCCACATTTATTTACCCCAGGGACTGTGGAGGAATTCGGGATAAGAGACTTAGAAAGAAATAAAGAGGGGAGAGAAACAGAGAGAAACGCAGGATAGACTCGAGTGGGCCTGGATCCTTATCCACGGGCCCGAACTTTATTCCAAAGGTCTATTTATAACAATGCCAAGGGGTGGAGCAAAAGTCCTCCCCCTTGCTGGTTACAGTCAAGTGTAGACCCTCACAAACCCCTGGTACCCAGGCCCGTGGCCCAATCAACTTCTTATGCAGTCCTGCTGGGTAAAGTTACTAGGAAACCTAGTGGGCTACAACACTCCACACACACAAGTGTAAAAAAAATGAAAGTAGCATTTAATAAAACCTAAGGTAGATGGTGTCCTGAGGAATGATAGCTGAGGTTGATCTCTGTCTGGACTCTACATGTATATACAAACATGCACTGCACCTACACTCTACATAACACACACTCAGAGAGAGAGAGAGAGAGAGAGAGAGAGAGAGAGAGAGAGAGAGAGAGAGAGAGAGAGAGAGTCTCTGTTTTGGTTTTTTTTTGTGTGTTTTTTGTTTTGTTTTGTTTGGTTGGTTGGTTTGGTTTGGTTTTGATTGTCCTGGAACTTACCATGTAGACATTAAACTCACAGAGATCCTCCTACCTCTGCCTCCTGAGTGCTGGGATTAAAGGTTGTGCACCACCAGGCCTGGCCCTGTTCCTCTTTAAAACGGGTTTACCTGTGTAGCCCAGGCTGACCTCAAACACGCAGTCCTCCTCTTCGGTCTCCTGTTCACAGGGAAGGCAGGTACTCACTGTCAGGCATGGCCGGAGTTAATGGACAACTAGTTTACCTTGTATGCTGAGTTTAAACAAAACCCCAAGAGACTAGCATTCTTTCTTGCTTTTCTCATACATCTTTGGCTTTTTATTTTGTTTTATGTAATTTCAATACCTACATGAAGTTGTCAACAAATAATGCAAACCAGATTTGTGGAGCAAAAACTTACTAGTC